AAGATCCTACCTCAAAAAAAAAAAAATAAATAAATAAATTTAGCCAGGTGTGGTGGCACACACCTGTAATCCCAGCACTCAGGAGGCTGAGGCAGGAGGATCGCTGTGAGTTCGAGACCAGCCTGGGCTACAAAGTAAGTTCCAGGTCAGTCTCAACTACTTAGTGAGACCCTGTCTCAAAATAAATAAATAAATGTAAAAGGGCTGTGTTATAGCTCAATGTGAAAGTCCTGGGTTCAAATTCCAGGACCACAAAGGAAAAAAAAGTGGGCTTTTCTCAATTCAGTGGAAAATTTACATTGGAAGGTTTAAGATCAGAAGGTCTCCTTGAGTAAAAATGTCAACCCCATTAAGTTTTGGTTTCATGTCTAAAATGGAGAGTGTGACACCATCTGTTGGTGACAAAGATAGCTACCAACTTAGCAGGGGAGCCAGCTGTTATTTAGGTGGCAATGGGCCCAGGTTTAAAACCCTCCACACTTCCCAGCCTCCCTTGCAGCTTGCACCGTGGCCCTTGAAATAAAGTGGTGACATTGCATGGTGTTTCCAAGGAGGAGGGTTCCAAAGAGCAGGTAACAGGGACTGAGTGCAAAGGAGCATGATGGAGATCTCTGAAGTAATGAATCTCTAAATCTGGATTGTGGTCATTGTTGTGAACTCTGTAAAATTCCAGATTTCACTTGAGTCCTTAAATCTCACTGGTCATCAAATTTTGATGATTTTTCAGAAATCAGTGCATCAGTGAATTCAGAAATCGGTGAAATGGGCAAGTTTTATGCTAAGGGATATTCTGAGAATATGATAAATTAGTAATGATTAAAAATTACAAAGTGAGAGAGGTTTCCGTAGCCATTTATAGACTAGTAATCAGAGGTAAGTTGAAACATTTCAGACTTCTAGGAAGGCTCCACAAAGGAGAATGGAAGCCTTCTTCCAACTGGTGTCCTGGGATGCAGACCGAATGCCTGGAACCCCAGCAGGATGGGCCATGCTGATGGACCATGAGGCACCCTCAAACACAGCAAGGGTTAGGATGATGGTGCCTGGGCCTCTGAAAACCCTAACATGCCCGCCAAGCCCATACCGTCCACCTCCAGACTTCTTTTATTTGTGGGAAACATCCTTTGCGCCACCATTGTGGATGATTTTCCTTTTATACACAACTGAAGAGAATCCTAATTTGTGCATTACCTCAAAGAGTTGTTATCAGCGTAAAATGAAAACTGGGAGGTTTTGCTTTTGCTTTTGTTTTCTGGAGAAACTGAAATAAACACACTTGGGGTTGTGAGGCCAGAAGGAAACAGAATGGAGTGGCTGTCTGTACTAAGTATGGGATGTCTGGCCCTGCCCTGTTTCCAGGAAGCAGTGATCCAGGCCCTGGCCCAGGGAAAAAAACAAAGGATGCCCTTCCCGAGGAATGGAATGGCTCCAAGAGAGGGTCTTTCAGCAGCTGGACATCCTGGCCCCCTGGTTTCCAGAGCTTTACCCTGAAATACAAAGACATCCAAGATCACCAGCAGTTTAGAGAAAACCTGAAAGATGGACGAATAGGTCTGGGACAGCTAAGCCAGCCCTCCGTCTTGAGGGGTTTGCAAACATACCAGGAAATCAAGAGCTGAAAAGGAACCGGTCTTCAAAACTATTGACTGATAACTCGTCAGGAAATGGAAAACCAGGGAGAAGGGTCAGCGCAGACACCATGAAGCCAGAGGCAAAAAACCCGAGATCATTAAAGTCAAATCCACTGAGGCAGAAGAGTGATCTGCCCTGCTCTAAAACCCAATTAGAGACTTTCTCAGATGGTCAGGGACAATGTGCTCCAGGTGGCACGGGACAAATGCATATGTAGCATAATCACTAATGTAAGCAAAATCACACCCAAAATACAATATGGTAAGGAGACACCCGAGATACGGAAGGGCACATGCGCAAGTAGAGCTCCGCCTCTCCCTGCGATAACGTCGGAAACCAAGTCCCTGCCCACTCCACAGATGCTATGGATGCCAGACTCCTTGTCCTTTGTTTCAGTCACCCTGCGATTTCTGTCCTTGATTGCTTTCCCCCCTATACTGGAGCATAAGAATTAAAGGCCTTGTGCGCACTCCATTATACTTTTGTCTGACTTCTGATACCCAGTCCAAGAACCCACAGCGTTGTTAACAGTTCCAAACAGGCAAACAAAACACAGAAAAAGGTTCCTCAAGGGGACAAAATCAGTATGGGGTGAGGAGAATTTTTTTAAAGGATGAATATCCCCAATAAGGGATGAAAATTTTGTATCTGTGAAAAGTAAGAGGATGCTATGAAAAAGAAAAAACCAAAAGATAAGAAAAGGATGCAAATTAGGAAAGCAATAACATTATAGGAAAGTTTTAAAAAGTAAGAGTTGGAAGACAAAATGCAGGAATGTTCCAGAAAGGAGGACAGAAATTAGAGTACTGGGGGCACAGCAGTGTGTCCAGGCTCCAGAATGGCCCTGGAACTCCTCCTGTTGCTCCTGCCACAGTGTGGGTCCCCTGCCTGGCTGAAGCCTGGGTCAGTAAGCCAGTGGCCAACATCAGATGCTCAGATTGCAGGCACTGTCCCCAGAGGAGTGGCCATGACAGGCCAGGGTGTACCACACAGAGTTTCCACATCCCAGGCACCTCCTTTTCCATGCGTGCCTGAGGGTACTCATACGCTCAGGCCTCATACTGGACGGAGGAGTAGCTCAGGGGTGAGGCCACAGTTCAATTCCAGTACCATAAAAATAAAAAGCTATGCCAAACTAAATATTCTTACGGAATACAGAGAAAACAGTGCACAGAGGGAAACCCACAGCTGCCATGCCTATGTTTTGTAAAAAAGAAAGTCTCAAATCAATAGCTTCCCTTTGTGACTTAAGAGCCTAATAAAAAATGGCAAACAAAACCCAAAGCTAGCAGGAGTTGATAAAGAGTAAAGCAAACATGATTAAATAAAAAAGAGAAAAAAACGCAAGCAGTCATTTGAACAGACCACAGCTGTGAGCTGTGAGGTCAATAAAATTAATTTCCAGGTGTGTTTGCAGCACTCCTCGGGGGGCTGAGACAGGAGGGTCACCTCAAGTTGGAGGCCAGCCTGGGTTACATAGTGAGTTGGGGGCCAGCCTGAATTACAAAGGGAGACCTTGCTTCAAGAAAAAAAAAAAACAAAAAAAAGAACAAATCTTTAGTTCAACTTACTAATGAAGGAGAGGACAAAAGAAGAAAAAGAAAGACAACTCAAAAATAAAAATGGGAGCATTGCTAATGATCTTACAAGAATTTTTTAAGTTTATAACAGAATATAAGCAATAAAAAATTAAATAACCTATCTGAAATGGGAAATTTCTAGAAACATAAAAATGACCAAAATTGACTCAAGCTTTGGTGGTACAATAGTGAGCACAGCTGCCTTCCAAACTTGACTCAAGAAAAAATATTCTACATAGACTTATAATAAGTAGGAAGATTGAATTAGCAATAAAAATACTTCCCCACAAGAAAAGTCCAGGACCACATAGCTTAACTGGTCAGTTCTAAAGAGGAATTAACAGCCATTCTCAACCTCTTCCAAAATTATAGACAAGGTAGAAGTTTACTCTTTTCATGAGGCCAGCATAGTTGCAGGAAACAAAGCAAGAAAAATGAAGAAAAGGAAGTTACCAAAGATATAAAAAAAGAAAATATCTCAGCACTAACCTCCACATTGAGAAGGCTCCTCCCTACTCCAATGAAACATATAAATGAAAAGATTCCCACAGAGCCACATTGTTGTGAAACTCCAGCATGCTAGGGATAAGGACAATATCCTGAAAGTTCCCATGTGTTGTTGGGAAATATGACATCAATCAAAACTTAGGAATCAAGATGGCATCTGACCTCTTAATAACAGAAATTGGAGGCCAGAAAACAATTTTAAAATTTGGGGCAAGTAGACTTTTATTTAGAATTTTATTCCCAGCAAAACATTTGCCAGATGCTAACTAGGAAAACAAACAAACACATATGGGGCATGCAAAGGCTTTGAAAATTTTCCCACACACCTTTTCTTCAGGAGCTACTGGATGTGCTCCAGCAAAATGAGAGAGTAAAACAAGAAACAGCAAGACATGTACCTGGGAGGGAAACTGGGATTCTAGGCAGTGAAGTGGACAGGGGGAGGTCATAGGGTAATGATCAAAAGAGTTCTGTGAGGATAGCTGTGAGCCTACCCACAGCACACCAGTGCAGACTGAAGGAGGGAATAGCCCGAGAGGAGCCACAGCATGGTCAAGAGGAAGAAGAAATTAATAGACTCTGTGGTACACCTGAGAACACAGGAAATA